TTTTAGGATAAATTTTCTATGCCTTCTTTGTGTTGTTCTTGTTTTGAGATGGAGTCTCACTCTGTCGCCCAGGCTAGAGTGCAGTGGCACAATCTCAGCTCACTCCAACCTCTGCCTCCCAGGTTCAAGCAATTCTCCTGCCTCACCCTCCTGAGTAGGTGGGATTACAGATGCCCACCACCACGCCCGGCTAATTTTTATTTTTTATTTTTCATAGAGACTGGGTTTCACCATTTTGGCCCGGCTGGTCTCAAACACCTGATCTCAGGTGATCCACCCACCTTGGCCTCCCAAAGTGCTAGGATTACAGGCATGAGCTGCCACCTCTGGCCAACTTTTATTTTTCAGGAGAAAGAAGCACATAGTCTATCTTAGTAAATTTTCCCAATTCTAATATTGCCTCCAATCTAGAAGCTATGGTTTATATCTAACCTAAATATATGGATGGTTCATAAGTTTACTCCAAGAAAGATAGTCACCTTTTTTTTTTTTTTGCCTCAGTGACCATATTCCAAACTTTCTAGATATTTTCATCTATAGTTGATTACAGATATATGTATGTAGATCTACATCTTTTCCACACATCATAAACATTGACAGCATTACCAAACCTAGTTTCTGATAGAAGCATTTTTATTTATTGGAATATGGAGGGTTAGCTGGCTCCTGAGAGGCCTCCTAGAGTGGCATGATCTTGGCAGTTTCGTGCAGGTTCAGACACTCAGCTTGATCTTTTCAGAGTCTGGAAGTGATTAGTGAGCAGTACAACTGTCAAGTGACCTAGACACATGCTGTTAACTAGCTCATTCTTTCAGTGGCCAGGTGGACATGGGATGCCAGATTCTAACCCAAGATTGCTTGATGTGATAGAATTATGGTGGTAGTAAGGTCTGTGCCAGCCACTTATTAACTCATCTGATTCTCACAAGAACCCTCTGATCTTGGTGACATGATCATACCCATTTACCAAAGAGGAAGCATAGGGCACTTTAAGTGTTCTGTACTTTGCCTGAAGACACAGCTAGTAAGAACAGAGTCGCAAGCCGGACATGTGCAGTCAGACTTCAAGAGCTCTAAAATCATACTGAGTTCCTCTTGAATACAGACAAAAGGAGTTAATCATATGGTTCAGATCTTTGATAGCATCAGACTGTAATTTCCTGTTGCAGCCATTTCCACAACCAGACTCATGTTTGTCTCATGAGTCAACAAGGAGTGTAGATTTTGTGGTTTAACTGTCTTAAGGCAGTCTTAATTTGCTTTATTTTCAGATTCCTAATGGTGGGAGCACACATCACTTTTTACCCTCTAGTTCTTTTATGTTTTCTTTTTCCCCCCTTTCTGTTTATACATTCTGGTGTTGTGCTTGAATGTTAATATCACAGCATTGAGTATTTGTGTAGACTTGTCCACTGTAACCCTTTCCAGTCCCCTTGCCCCCACCCCCATAAAGTAGAATTTTTCCTAGATTGAATCCCAGAAATAATATGTGCATTATTTCATCTGATTTACTATGATTTTCTTCTCTGATTTCAGAGTGGACAAGATTACATCTGAAAATGCACCAACTAAGGAAAGCAATAACATTCCCAACCATAGAGTTCTAATTAAACCAGAGATTCAAAACAATCAAAGAAACAAGGAAATGAGCAAAATTGAAGAAAAAAAGGCATTAGAAGCTGAAAAATACGGATTTCAGAAGGATGGTCAAGATAGACCGTTAACAAAAATTAATAGTGTAAAGCTGAATTCTCTGCCATCTGAATATGAGAGTGGGTCAACATGCCCTGCTCAAACTGCACACTACAGACCAGTCAACTTGAATAGTTCAGAGAACAAAATAGTCAATGTTAGCCTGGCAGATCTTAGAGGTGGAAATCGCCCCAGTACAGGGCCCTTATACACAGAGGCTGATCGAGTCATACAGAGAACAAATTCAATGCAGCAGTTGGAACAGTGGATTAAAATCCAGAAGGGGAGGGGTCATGAAGAAGAAACCAGGGGGTAAGTATATGTCTTGTTATTATGAACCCAGGTTTTTTTAATGCTGTGTTGGTGGAGATTGGTTTCTGAGCTACTGATTAAAATATTGGTTTAAATTGTGTTTTAGCTATTACAGCTTCATTACTATGTCTTTTGTTTATGATGATCAGATATAAGTATTTATTCTCTGTCTCTTACGTTCTGTCACTCAACTTTGTTAGTGGCAAGGAGTCATCCTACCTGTTCAAGCACAAGAAAAGGCTTGGGTTACAGGTAGAGATCAAGTTTATTTGGGAGAGGGAGGGAGCAAGCCCTATCCTCCCAACTCACCCCTGTCTTGTCCCCTGCCATTATCACTTCTTCTCTGACTGTCCTCCATTACCAGCTTCTGCAGCTTGGTGCAATGTAAGGATCTTCTGAGACAAGTAATATGGAGGCAGCAAAGGCCTACTGCTCCCTAATTTTCAGTCTTATTCTTGGGCTTTCTTTAAATAAGAATGCACATAACTATTAAATACAAGGCCAGAAGCAGTTGTTTGTGCTTATAATCCCGGCACTTTGGGAGGCCAAAGCAGGAGAATCATTTGAGGCCAGGAGTTTGAGTCCAGCCTGAGCAACCTCGCAAGACCCCATCTCTGAAAACATTTTTAAAAATTAGTCAAGCATAGTGTTGCATGCCTGTAGTACCAACTACTTGGGGGAAGTTGAAGTAGAAGGATTGCTTGAGCCCAGGAGTTGGGAGCTGCAGTGAGCTATGGCTGTGCCACTGCACTCCAGTCTGGCAGCACAGTGAGAACCCAACTCTAAAAAAAATGAAAAGTAAATGTATTTATGTGAGCATTTATTCTTTTTTGCATGCACTTTTTCTTAATATATTTATTGTACAATTGCTATTTGCTAATTGTGAGACCACAAAGTAAAATAATGAAAAGATACAGTCCAGGTTCTCACAAAGATAATTCTGTACTAGAGGAGACAGTTGAATAAGTAGATGCAATTTAGTATGACAGATACAATGAAGGCAGACCAGGGTGCTGTAGGAACACATTTCGGATAACCAACACAATCTTAAGGATTCAGAGTCCAGGAAAACCTTTGTAGAGGAAGCAAAACACAAGCTGTGATACGAAGAATGACATGCATGTTAGGGCTTAAATATGCAAAGCTCCAGGGTTAGTAGAGAACAGAAGAATCAAAAGAAATCCAGTATGACTTGGTTGTAACTGGGGAAACAATGAGTGAAGAACAAGGCTAGAGACATAAGCTAGGAGAGATATATTCAGATTGGTGTCTCAGAAATCTGGAGAGTAAATTGGAGAAAGTTCAAAAGTTACTTAAGTGATTGAAGTGAGAAGAGGAAGAGGATGTATTCAGGATACAATTGACAAGTCTAGTTGGTTGCTTTGATGTGCTTGACTGCAAACCCGTCTTGCTCAAGATTAAGTTTGGTGTCGGGCGAGGTGGCTCGCATCTGTAATCCCAGCACTTTGGGAGGCCAAGGCAGGTGGATCAGTTGAGGCCAGGATTTCCAGACCAGCCTGGTCAAGATGGTGAAACCCCATCTCTACTGAAAATACAAAGATTAACCAGACATTTTGGTGCTCACCTGTAATCTCAGCTACTCGGGAGGCTGAGGCAGGAGAATCTCTTGAACCCGGGAGGCAGAGGTTGCAGTGAGCCAGGATTGCGCCACTGCACCCCAATCTGGAAGTTTCTTGAGGGAAATCAAGAATGGCACCCTGCCTTTTTGGCCTGGGCAACTAGGGTGATTTGGTGCCTTTTACTGCAAAGAAAAGATTTGGGAAAAGAGAAGATAGTTGTTGGATGGGTTATGTGAGGTAATGCATATGTTAATTAGCTTGATTTAGCCATTCCACAATACATATATTTCAAAGCATGTTGTTCACCATAAATATGTACAATCTTATTTGTCAATTTTCTTTAAAAAGAACTGGCAAATGCTCGAATTTAGCAGTAATCAGGGAATTGCATATTAAAGAATCAATTAGGCGTTATTTTTCACTTACCAGATTGACCAAAATCATAAATAAATGAATTAATGAAGGCACAGGTGAATAAAAATTAGATTACTTAATGTTGAATGGAATGACAAACATGAATAAGCTCATATATTACTAGCAGGAAAATAAATTAATACAATTTGATTAGACAGAAGCAGGAAGCAGTTCTGGGGGAAAAAAAATGAAAGGATGTTTGAAAGTACTTGGGAAAGTAATGACTTTCAGGAAAATAATAAAAATCTAAATCAGAAGATTGCTGAGTCTCTGCTCACCACGTTAAATCTCACTTCAAAGAAGAATCACTTTTCCCCAAAAATCATACTTTCTTAAGTTTAAAAATATATGTAGAGAGTCAACAGATATCTTGAAATTAGAGGATTTTTAAAAAATTGTTAAGTATAAATACTGGTCTTAGGTTCCTTTATGAGTAATTAATATCAGTAAAGTCTTTCTGTGACTTCTTTCTTTTGGACATAGACCAACAGCTTCTGAAGGCTGGTTTTAGGTTATTTTGAGCTAAGGTTTTCTCTGGGTTC